AAGGATCGAGTGAGATAATATTTATAAAGCACTGAGCGCAGTGTAGATGTACAACACACGCTTCCTTCCTTGGTACACTCTGGTTATTTGATACTAGTTAAATGCTGAAGACAAAAAAATTAAGAACCACCTCTCTTTTCCCTGTCTTCCTTCTAGTATCTAATTAATTCCCTTCTCCTCCCAAGCAAACTTTTAAAATTACTCTTTTCTTTTATCCTTTTATTTCTATTTCTAGGCCTACTGTTTAGCCAATTAGACGACAAGTGGATAGAGTTCTGGGACTGGAGTTAGAAAGACCTGAGCTCAAATCCAGCCTTATATACTTATCAGCTATGTGACCCTGGCCAAGTATTTAATCTCTGTCTACCTTAGTTTCCTCAAATGTAAAATGGGGAAGATAACAGCACCCATCTCCCAGGATGGTTATAAGTATCAAATGAAATAATATTTGTGCTTAACACAGTACAGTAAATACAGTAGGTATATAACAAATGTTTGTGTTTTTTCCTCCCTACTGTGAAGTCATATCATGGTACAGTGGTAAGAGCAATTGGATTTGGGGTAAGAGGACTTGAGTTTCAATCAAGACTCTACCACTTACAACCTGTGTGACCTTGGGCAGGTCATTTCTTTGGGCCTCAGTTTCCTTACTTGTAAAATGAGGGCTGGCTTCATTGGCTTTTATATATATCCCTTCCAGTCCTCAACACACGATCCTATAAGCCTATCCTGCTCCTGGAACAACTTCCACATTGAAACACCAAGATCTAACCTTTCTTTCCCTCAGGTAGATCCTAAAATTTCTCCTCTTTTACAAAGCCTACATGATTGATTACAGGAAAGAGAAGAGATTCCCATGGCCCTACTCCATCTAAATATACAATTTTTCTGATCCTCCTGAGCCTTGAATACTAAAATGCACGCGTGGTCTCTTCAATTTGGACAATTCCTCCATTGAAGCACATGGCAAACCACCCTAGTCTACACATCTGATGCGACCGCTGTCCAAGTTCTGCCTTTATTTCACCAGAGAGGATCTCCTCAATGTACCTGGGTAACAACATCAGCAGAGCACTGGGGTTACCCACCTTTTATTTCTCCCCCCTTACTCACCACGTGACCAGAACATCTTTTACATTCACACACTTCCATGATGACATCATTCACTTCTATGCATTAAGGCTCTTTACTTATTACATGCTTCAGTGTGCTCATTCTAACTATGTGCCTTTCTTTCACCTCTAATCACTGCCACATGAGAAAAAACTTAATATTGCATCCTTACATGTTACCACATTAATATCTGATAAACTTCCCCATATATTCAAGCAAGTCTGACTCCTGGCTACAGGAACACTGTCGAAACATTTGCTAGTTTCATTTCCATGATCATTTCATGTAAATCATTTACATGGTAGCACATTGAAAGAGACAATAATACATTCAGGTATCGATGATATAAAAGAAGGACACAGAGCCATATGAAACTAAATCTGGTCTGACTTGGATCTCCTCCAAAAGGATATGATGCTGAATAGAATTCAGGAATAATTTGATCTAACCTCATTTCACAGAAAAGTCTTTCCTTTCAAATTCCATTCTTTCTCTTCTAAGACTTGAGACTTTAGACCTTAACTTGTTTAAAAAAATGCTGAATTTCAAGTTTCCCAGTTGGGAAAGTTGACCAAGCATAGTATACTTCATTAGTACTTGACTTGGAACAAGTTATCAGACAAACAATGTTTCTTACTTAATTTAATCTCCCTAAATCTGCGGGACTTCTAAAGTATCTCAGAACATAGAGGCCATTTAGGATTTTCAGCAAAAGCACAAAAAAATACAGTTACTTGGGGCAGCGCAGGAGGAGGAAAAGGGTTCACAGAACAGTATCCACTTTGAGAAGACAATCCAAGTTAAGGAGGATAAAAATAGCATTTCAGTTCAGCCATCCGTTGGGATGGCTAATTTATTCCTAAGGCCTCTAAAAGACAGATGAGGAGAAAAGGAACAGGGTTGGCTCCTATACAGAAATTATTCTTTTCCCTTCACAGAATTGGGTAATATTAGAGCTTCCTTGCAATTGTTCTTAGCAATTTTATGGTGGATCTGTGTTTCACAATCCATGTTTTATAGCAGAGGGAAAAAAGGAGAAAGATCCCAACAAAAGAACCATGTTACAAATAGCTCATTTCACTATATTTTATTGACTGTCCAATTCCAACCCTCTGAGGCCTCCTGAAAAAATTAAAAAGACAACTCCAGAATCCTAGAGATACTTCTGAGCTAAGTAAAATCATCAAAAGGGAAAGTTTCATGACTGCCATCTACTGTCCAGGAAAATTGTGACTGCTTTTAAGAAATGGATTACATTTCTATTTTTTCCTATTAAGTTTAGGCAATGCCATGGTTTACATTTTCAAAAAGGTTATTATATTTAAATATCAAGCTAGAAACATGTATATGCACATGTGTTTATATAACATGTGTACATGTACGTAAGGTTTCTGTTTTGCTATCTAAAGAGAACAGGAGAAAGAAAGAGAGAGCAAGATGGGGGAGAGAGAAAGGAGAGAAAAAGTGAAAGAGGGAGGGAGGAAGACAGAGAAAGAGAGAGAGAGCAATATAGAGAAAAGAGAAGGCAAGAGAAGGGGAGAGAAGGAGAGAGGAAAGGGAGAGAGAAACAGACACAGAGACAGAGATAGAGAGGAAAGAGAGGAAGAGAGAGACAGAGACAGAGAGAGGGGAGAGAGAGAGAAAGAGAGAGTGAGAACTAGTTGTGGCTTGAGTTATTCAGGAACATCTTTTAAGAAATGAGAACTATTCAAAAATTTGAATAGCTTGCCTCCTATGATTTGAAGATTTTGCTACAGTTAATGATCCCAAGCTTCTCTCGGAAACAAAGGTACATATCTTTAAAAAAATCTTTTAAATTACATTCAACCAGTGTTACTGTATGAGTGTAAGACATGGAACACAACTATTTTTATTCTTTTCTTTCCTTTTTTTTTTTTTTTTTTGACGAGGCAATCAGGGTTAAGTAACTTGCCCAGGATCATACAGCTAGTAAGTATCATATGTCTGAGGCACATTTGAACTCAGGTCCTCCTGACTCCAAGGCCGGTATTCTATCCACTGTGCCACTTAGCTGCCCTAAACACAGCCATTTTTTTAAACTCAAAAAAGAATATGATACAGATGGCAATGAAGAGGCATATGGTGGGGGTGTGGGCAGAATGCCACACAGAACCACTGAGGAACTCCAAAGAAGAATAGAAATACAAGATGTCACCAGGGAAATGGAGGCTAGGGAAGAGAAGGGCTGAGGAAAGGTCAGGATTCCAGATGGATAGCCACTGTCCTCCACTGGTACCCTCGCAATGATAGGAGAAAGTTAGGGGGGGTCACTAGCACAAGTAGGGGGGATGTACACATATGTGTATGTGTACACACATGTGGCATAGGATAGGCAGGTAGGGATGGGTTGCCATCTCTATCACTGGAAGAAAGATCCACATTGAAGAGATCACAGATATACTTCAGTATTTTGAGTATTACCCCTAGAAAGCGAATAGGCTTTTTATTCCTTCTTTTAAAGTTTACTTTTAGAATTGTGCGTTCATCCAGAGCTAGAAAAATAATCTGTAGTGAAAATAAATTGTCACCTAGTTTTCCATCAGATCGTCCGTCTCCAGCTATCACCTAATGACTGATGAAATGTCAGTACTTTCTGATTGGCCTTCCTGCCTAAAATCTCTCTCTACTCCAGCCCATATTCCACTCAGCTATTAAAGTGATTCTGCTAAAGCTCAAATCTGACCATGTCACTCCCCTGTCACCTATTCAATCATCTCCAGTGGCTCCCTATTACCTCTAGAATCAAACAAAACCCTCTGTTTAGCTTTTAACGCTCTGCACAATCTGGCCCGTTGCTCCCCTTCCAGCCTTCTTGTTTATTATTCCCCAAACATCCCCTATGATCAATGACACTCTGTGCTGGTCCTCTCACAAGACACTCCCTCTCCCCACTGTCCCTAATGCCTGGAAGTCTCTCCCTCATTATCTCCACCTCCTACCTTCTCAGCCTTCCTCCAAGTCAAGCAAAAGGTCTACCTTCTTTCTGCAAGAAGTCTTTCCTTAATCTTAGGATATTCCCTCTTATATTATCTCCAATTTATCTTGCATACAGGGTATTCCCAAAGTCTATTTCAAACTATCAAAGCTTATATGCCAAATGCTATTGAAGTTACTGAAGTTTAAAATTTCATTAAGACTTTTGGAATGTACTGTACATCTTGTTTATACACAGATTTTGCATGTTCTCTCTCTCATTAGACCAAGAGCATCCTCAAGAGCAGGAACTACTTTTTGTAGTCCACAGCATACATGCCTGTCACATAGTAGGTATTTAACAAGTGTTTGTTGCCTTGATTTCTCAAGAATTTCCTCTAGGAGAAAAAAAAGGTCAATTTAGCTATCTTCTCCAGGATACATTCCTTAAGTAAGAAGAGGTGAGCGGAATAGAAGTATGTGTCTAGAGGATGGTGAGCATGGAACCCAGCCTCATCTTGAACTAGAATTGACATCAGATGTGTCCAGCTTGGGAAGGGCCGCAATAGAATTACTGATGACTATAAAACTGAACAGATGTCTTTGGAGTGAAAAGCTATCAGACCAAACCAACCCCTGTTTGAGTAAAAATGAAGACAGAAAACAAAATCTCAAAGTATAACACAAAATTAAGTAGCATGATAGGTTAAAAAACTAGCCACTTTAGTGAGGGGTGAGAAAAAAATAGTGAATTCATCCAAGACACTAGCCAACCTACTTTACCATGGAAGTCCCTTCTAAAAGCCATGATGTAACATTAGTGAGACCCATGACATACAAAAAGGCTAGAACAAACTTTGAGGTTTAATGTGAGCTTGTGGGAAAAGTTTTATTTGCATATCCTCATAATGGGTGGTGCACTTAAAAGGATATAGCTGCTTAAACAAACTTACCCGGCTTAAAATGTGGTAAAGAAGACACTCCTGGCCAAGTATCCTCATTGGGCGTTCCAAGAACCTGGTGAAAAGCAGGAAACAGGGAGAATAATAGTTAATGTTTCTGAAGCACTCAGAATCCTCAAGTGTCCAGGAACATTAGACACAATGTAGTATGATACCCCGGACTCTTCCTATTACCATGTGCCAAGATGTTTTACTTGAGTGGAAGCAAAACCTGGCTAGAGGGCCTCCCCAGACCAAAGTCTTTGTAATTTAAGAAATACTTGAATGAGGTAAGAAAAGATGTGTTTGCTGTGCTTTATAAATCACATCTAAACCTGATCAGTCAGTCTGGGACTTAAACCAAGGGCTGTCAGGATTGCTCAACGTGGAGGCATCCCATGGGCTTCTCTCCGAAGCTTTCATACCTCATTCCAAAGTTACACACTTCATTGCCCAATGCGTCTTAAGAATTCTGACATCCGCTTCCCTAAAGCCTCTCTGTTTTAGGCAGCCTGATACTTCAAAAGATTAGAACAAATAGCAGAGTGCTCACTGTCATTTATCCTACTTCTTCATCAAGCTAAAATATGGAACAATGACAGGTCAAGGTTTTCCTCCTCCAGATACAAATTTCCATATTCTTTTAGTATCCCACCCAAATGTTGAATGCCTGGACTTTGGCCACTGTGCCACACTCTACCCTTTGAGAAGGAAAATCAACCTAGTGAAAAATGAGGCTATTCTTACATTAAATGGGAACTTTTATGTTGATAATCTCTACTTGGTACGCCCTCCCCTCCCCCGCAAAAGCACTCAAAATCTCTGTGTGGAAACTGAAGAAGGAGCTTATGGGTGGAAAGAGGGCCACACTTGGGAGTCAGAGAACTGAAAAATGAACATGAACTTAGCCGCTTACTACTGCCTGTGGGACCTATGGTCACTTATTTCACCTCTTTGAGCCTCAGTTTCCTCATTTGTAAAATGAAGGGGTTACACTAGAGGACCTCTAAGGCCTCTTCCTCCTACAGATCTAAAATCAAGATTATTTCCCTCATTTTCCATAACAGAAATCTGGCCTAGCATGGGGTTGTAGGGGATACATCTCCTTTAGAGAGAATCACAGAATTTCAGAGTTAGAAGATGACACCTTTAAACAAACAAAGTCAAACTTAATAATTAGTAACAAAACTAAACAACTAACCACAAAATAAAGGATTGCATCTTACAGAAAACATCATTTGATAAAATGGAACAAATGAATTAAGAATCAGCAAGCGACGCCCCACCCCAACACCCAAAGAAAGCTTTTAATTCTCCCCTGCTCAATAACCTGCAGTGGGTGCCTATTGCCTCCAGGATCAAATCTAAACACCTCAGATAGGTATTTAAAGGCCTTCTGGCCCCAATGGACCTTTCTAGATTTCATACACACTACATCCCTTCCTGCACTCTCTAGCCGGGTCAAACCAGCCTATGTGCTGTCCTTCATAAATAATGTTTCATTTCCCATCGCCAAGGCTTCCTCCATAGTCTGTCCCCCATGTCTGTAATGGCCTCCCTCCTGTCCTTCCTTGCAATCCCTCTTTCTTCCAGTATCTGTGCCAAGAAAACTCCAAATGCAGTCATGGAGAGTCAGCAACTTCTAATCGACTGAATAACAACAACAGAAAATCTATGTCTATATCTCTCTATCTCTATCTCAATATCTAACATCTATTTCTTTCTTTCTTTCTCTATCTCCATATATCTCTATCTAGTTTTCTCTCTACTTTATTTCTATCTATAGATATTTATATTAGTTTATACACACATACACACACGCTTATGTGTGCCTATTTCCTGATAGAATATAAGCTCTTCGAGGAAAGTGACTGTTTCTTTTTTGGGGGACAAGGGGGTATCGTGAGCCCCACAGTGCCCTCCGCTTTACAGATAACTGATAAATTATTATTCATTGATTCTCTCGTCTTTTCCTGTTGGGTCATAATGTTGGGTCACTGCCGGTCTTCGTAGCTAAGCATCCCCATGTTGTTGCTACAGGGCAAATGAGGAAATGCAGAAGAGTTTTGAAGGCTAAACACGCTTCAACTACTATTATTATACAACTATATCAACAGCAAAAAAATAAAAATAAAAGTCTCCCTGAGGCAACTCATCGGCACAGCAAATAAAGCATTGGTCCTGGAGTCAGTTCAAACCCAGCCTTAGATCTTTACTAGCTGTATAATCCTGGGCAAGTCATTTAATATCTGTCTGCTTCAGTTTCCTCTGCCTCAAGATGGGGATCACAAAAGGACCTACCTCCCAGGGTCGCTGTGAGGATCAAATAAAGTAAAATGTATAAAGCTCTTAGCCCAGTGCCTGGCACATGGCAGATGTTTATTAATGTTCATTCTCTTCCCCCTTGTTCCCTTCTCTAAGACCAAGGAAAGAAGGATGTAGAGGAAGGGCTATGGAAGTAGTGGGATTAGATCTAGAAGTTTAATTCACCTCTGGGTACATGCACTTGAATCTCTTCTGCACTGACAATTGTGATAATAGTGTCTCTGGGCAAAATAAAGAATCAGCACCAGAGACAGGGGGGACAGAGTCAGAGACACAGTCTTTGGGAGTAGACACAGCAGTCTTGGGGAATGTCCCACCTGAATCACGTGTCCACGTTAGGCGGAGAACTTGAGAGAAGCAGGATGGAACTGAACCCATTCTGCCAGCCAGGCAGCAGCGAGGGCACATCTTATATCCCACATATTTAGAGAGTCTCCATGCTTTTTAGGTTCCTTTAAATATAAATCAGTCAGGATCCCAAATACTTTTTTCATTCTCTTCTAATAAGAGTACAACACACTTACTACATCCCATTCTGAAATGTGTGTGTATTTAAATGGAAAAATGGCAGCTAAAATTTCCGATCACATCACTCCTGGCCACATTTTCCATTTTTGCACTTAAACACTAGCAAGATTTTAATACTATGACATAGAAATTACTGGCAAGAACAGACTAGGTCCACCAAACACAAACATTTCATCTCCCTTTACTTTGCTTAAAGTCTTGAGTAAGATTCTTTAAGACTGACTGTTAGATTTACAGAACCTCAGTCATCGACCTTCTTCCCTACATACAGATGTTCTGCATCTTTGAAATCTCCTGCCTTGGCTATGAGACCAGATTTGCTAATCATTTACATCTTCATCAGAAGAAAAGCAAAAAGCAGAAGATGAAATAAAAACCTAATTTTCTCCTTGTAAAGGATTTTCTGGAGGAAGGAAGTAGGGAGGGGATCAATACTGGGTTGGAAATGGTATGCAGATTTCAATCGCCCATGATGTTCTTGTGGTGGTTGTTGTTTGTCCTTCATTTTCAAAGACGACCAATGATATCATGGAGAGATGTCATGACTTGCTTGTGAATTGGATTTAAATGAGGCAGAGTTGCACAAAAAGTCATCAGCCTTACTCTCTCTTTGACTTATCAAAGTCCAGTGGTAAGACAAAAGTTAGGGCTACTGGTGATGACCCAGGATGCAGGAGATTCCTTTGGCATCTCTGATGTCTAACCAAGCTCTAAGCATTCCTAAGAGCCCGCTTCAGCTGTCTCCATGACTATTGGAACAGATTGTTCTCATCTGCCTATTCCCGCCAAGGGAAGTCTTCATATGCTTGGTGTAGACATCTCCCTAACTCACCAATGGGTTTGAGGCCTGTCAATTACTGTCAACCTGGTTTAGCTGAGACAGTTTTACTGGGGTGTGGCCTTGTACCATTAATCAAAAGTCAGTTGTATATGTCCTTTTTAGCTACTGATTTTTTTTTAAATTCTACTGGCCACTCATCATTGTGTTAGGATTTTCTGAATATAAAGAATCACTCATTAAACACTATTTGGGAACACCCAAACTGTGGGTAGGACATTATTAAAACTTCAAAGTGGCTACATAATAAGAACGATGCTTTGTATTCATTGTGACAGTCAATAAGCATTTATTAAGTACTTACTATATGCCAGGCACTGTGTTAAGTTCCAGGGATACTAAGAAAGGCAAAATATAGTGTCTGCTCTCAAAGTTGGGAATTTTTCTAATGAAGGAAATAACATGTGAATAACTTTGTACATAATATATAAGATATATACAGAATAACTTGGAGGAATTCTGAGAAGAACAGCATTCCCAGCGGCGTAGGGGATGGGGAAAGGCCTCCTGTAGAAAGTGGCATCTGATTAGAGTCCTGAAGGAAGCCAAGGGAACTAAGGTGTAGAGGAGAAGAGGAGAAATATTCCAGACATGGGGGACAGAGAGTGCCAAGGCAGAAAGAGCCCACAGAGTGGCGTGTGTGAGGAATGGCAAGAAGGTCAGTGGAGTTAGATTTTAGAGCATGTGGAAGGCAGAAAAATGTAAGTACACTGGAAAGGGACCAGGTTGTGAAGGGTTTTAATGGTCAAAGAGTTTTATATTTGATCCTGGAGGGAATAGAGAGTTACTGAAGTTTACAGAGTAAGAGGATGACATGGTTAGACCAATCTATGCTTTAGGAAAATCACTTTGGTATCTGAGTGAAGGGACTGGAGTGGGAAAAGGCTTGAGCTAGGTCAATTAGAAAGTTATTATTGCAATAGCCAAGGCAGAAGGTGACAAGGACATGAACTAGAGTGTTAGCTGTATGATCAGGGAGGATTTGAGAGTAAAGATGTTATGTTTTGGGCATGTTGGATTTGATACATTTATAAGACGCATACAGTTTGAGATGTCTAAAAGGCAGTTGGTAATGTGAGACTATAGCTCAAGAGAGGTACTAAGATTGCATATACAGATTTGGGAATCATCTGCATAGTGATGATAACTGAACCCATGGAAGCTTGAGATCACCAAGCAAGATACCTGTATAGAGGGAGAAGAAAAGAGCACTCAGACCAGATCCTTGGGAGATCCCCAGGTTGGTGGGTGTGACCCAAATGAAGATCCAGCAAAGGAGACTGAGAAGCCATCAACAGGAAAACAGGAAAAGTAGGATTTTGTAACGGTGTTACAAAAACCTATAGAGGACACAGCATACAAGGAACGATGGCAGAGGCTGCAAT